TATTTTATATACTGCTATTTTTGATTAAAGAAACGAAAATAAATTCAGTTGTAAAATATAATTTTTATGATTACTTAATAAATTAAATTAAAAATCTCATTGAAGATGCCCATTTAGAAGCGGAAAGTGTACATCGCACCGGCGCCCCAGTTGGGTCTGCTATTGCCATAGGGTCCGCCCAGATGCTGTGAGTACTGACCCGTGGCATCCAGCGAATGGCGTCCATTGGGACTCTGCCAAACCGGGGCACGTCCATTGATGCTCAAGTCGAAGCCTTGACGTGGACTGCCGCCGCCCTGGACATTCAGCTGGCGGCGCAAGCGCACCAGTTGCTCCGGCTCCGCCTCCTCCTGCTCCTCCAGCAGCAGCAGATCCTGCTCATTGGGCTGCCATTCCATCTGTGATTTAACGAATGAGTTCTCTAGCTCATTCAAGTCCAGCTGATCGACTGCGGCAAGTGAAAGTGAATCCGGATTGGGATATGCCCAGGCACAGGCAAAGAAGCCAAGCAGCAGCAGCAAACTGAGATTTTGTTTCATCTTGAAGCTTTGACTGTAAAATGATGAATTGAGCCATGCTGCTGTTGACTTTTATAGACTGAAAGAGTCCCCCATCCGAGTGAAAGAGTCCCCGTTGCAGGGATTCCCTTGGTGGATGACCACATTTGGGCTTCACACGCGTGAAGCACCGCTGATAAGCAACGAGATCTATGGAGAGACAGAAAAAACATTTGGCATTGATAAAGTGCCGCGTGTAAGTCCCCTAGCTGAGACTTGGCGCTGAAACTGAAAAAGTAGACATAGGCATGAATCAAACTGATAAGATACAGCTGCAGTTCGTTCTACACCTATAAAAGAGCAGCTCCAACTTTGTTAGATTATCAGTTAAGACACGTACAGCCTMCCAGATACACAAGATGCAAGTTGCACTCATCGCTCTGCTCTGCTGCCTGCTCGGCTCAGCCCTGGCCATGCCTCAGCCCGAGAAGTTGGACGTGAGCAAGGCGTCGGCATGGACCGAGCGTCCGCCTTCGGGTCCGCCACCAGAGCAGCGATTCCTGCTGGATGGTGGCTACAACAAGGATAAGAACGGCCGGGATGTCTGGGCCATGGCTCAGGTGCCCGTCTACACCAGCGACAACAAACGCCACGAATTCGATGCCGTCGGCAAATATGGCCAACATCTGGGCGGRCCCTACGGCAACAGCCCGCCCTCCTATGGCTTCGGTGGCAACTACAGATTCCGGTTCTAGAATGGGAATATATCAGCAATTTGTAAATATTTGTGTAAACTATAAAACAATTCAGGCTGATCAAAATTATGTTAAACTATAATTATATTTATTTAAAATTCAATTAAATTAAAACTCTTACATCCAAAAATTCCCTTTTCATATATAAAAAAAATTAGTTACATAAATCTCTAAAAATCTATATATATTATATAAGAAGAAATAATATACGTACACTTAACTACTAATTCCAACTTCATCTGAATTTCGCTTTTCTCTTGGGACTTCAATGAATTTACTAGCTAAGGCAGATGTCCCAATATATTGTCTATATATACATAGGTTATCAGGTTATCTGTGAGGGGAATTTCGTTGTATAGCAAATATTTTTGTAAATAAGACAAAAAATGTGTGCTACTTTTGGAACAGACCACATATACATATATGAATGATATACATATATTGTAGATAGATACTTTGCAAACATCTTACCAGTTAACCGGCCAATAAAAATATTATAGACATGGTTTAAGTGATGCCACGGCACGTGCAAGCCGAGCCCAGCCAAGACAGATTCCAAAGAGCTATAAGCAATAATTTTTAAGACTCGCCAAGGCCGTCATTATTATTATATAATTTATGCAAATTTCGTAATGAGATTGAAGTATTTCTTAATGTCTCATTGCGAATCCTAGAGCTGAAAAGTGATTCATTTTGTTCTTTTCGCTTTCATTCACAAACTTCTTAATTAGCTAAAAAATATACGAAAAACAAAAACATTTATTCATAGACTTTATTTTTGGGCTGAGTCTGACATGATGAATTTTCATTGCAGCCTCTTTTGACAGTTAACGCAATAAATCCAATTAGGCAAAGAGAGAGAAGAAAAAACACACACCAATGATTTTTTCGGCAGGTTTCATTAGGCAAACAGTCGTCGCGCTTAATTTGTTATTAACAAAAAGCGAATACAAATTGTAGATTTCATGATATGAAGACACGTTCAATTAGCTAAACTGCATGCTCATCTCGTTGCGACTGTCAGTCGTAAATCTTGTTGGATTCTTAGCGACATGTTCCGGGGTAGTTGAACGTCTTCATGCTCAAGGATAACCCTAAGCAGAGATCTAAAAGAATTCCTAAAGATGAATCGCTCATAAAATCCATATTTTATTTCAATTGTGTTTATTAAAATTTTAGCGTAATGTGTGTAAGAGGCAACAGGTGGGCGTGGCAAGCAACAGATTGGGATGAAGGCTAGTCAAGACCTCTTCAACTTAAATATTTTTAAAGATTTCTCTACTAAATGTAATAAATGAAAACAATTTTTTTAGTTATTTTTGTATCTAATTTTTATTTGAATAAATATATATATATATATATANAGAATTTTTGTATTGTTATGGAAAAGGTGATTTTTCGATTTACCTTGAAATTAAACTGCCTTAATTTCGCTTTTTATACTCAGCTTAAACCTTAACATTTATCGATTTATATTATTTTCAAATTTATGTATTTATATACTTTAATATTAAGTATTGATTATATTTGTAGGCTTCTGACATGGAGTCTCGTAGCATTCAGCTTTTGTCATGCAGCTGCCTTAACTCAAGTTTCAATCAAATGCAAATATGATAAATATTTCCACATGTTTCATAGATGTCGGTCAATAGTTAGCGAAATCGATAAGTTGTTATCGAATTTGACAAATAATTATCGAAATCGATAAATAGTAGGTGATGTACCTTTCATCGCGTCTCATAGCATTTAGCTTTTGTCATGCAGCTGTCTTAACTCAAGTTTTAAGCAAATTTTCTTATATGTCGGTAAATAGTTATCGAAATCAAATTTTCTTAGATGTATAGTTATCGAAATCGATAACAGTTATCGAAATCGATAAATAATAGTTGATGTACTTTTCATCGCGTCTCATAGCATTTAGCTTTTGTCATGCAGCTGTCTTAACTCAAGTTTTAAGCAAATTTTCTTATATGTCGGTAAATAGTTATCGAAATCAAATTTTCTTAGATGTATAGTTATCGAAATCGATAACAGTTATCGAAATCGATAAATAATAGTTGATGTACCTTCCATCGCGTCTCGTAGCATTCAGCTTTTGTCATGCAGCTGCCTTAACTCAAGTTTCAACCAAATGCAAATATGATAAATATTTCCACATGTTTCACAGATGTCGGTCAATAGTTATCGAAATCGATAAGTTGTTATCGAAATTGACAAATAATTATCGAAATTGACAAATAATTATCGAAATCGATAAATAGTACCTGATGTACCTGATGTACTTTCATCGCGTCTCATAGCATTCAGCTTTTGTCATGCAGCTGTTTAACTGAAGTTTCAATCAAATGTTCCTAGATGTCGATAAAAGCTATCGAAATCGATAAATAGTTATCGAAATCGATTATATTTATCGAAACCGATAAATAATAGTTGATGTGCCTTCCAGCACGTTTCGTAGCATTCAGCTTTTGTCATGCAGCTGTCTTAACTCAAGTTTCAATCAAATTTTCTTAGATGTCGGTAAATAGTTATCGAAATCAATAAATAGTTATCTAAATCGATAAATAGTTATCGAAATCGATAACATTTATCGAAATCGATAAATAATAGTTGATGTACCTCCAGCACGTTTCGTAGCATTCAGCTTTTGTCATGCAGCTGTCTTAACTCAAGTTTCAATCAAATTTTCTTAGATGTCGGTAAATAGCAATCGAAATCGATAAATAGTTATCGAAATCGATAAATAACTATCGAAATCGATAAATAATAGTTCATGTACTTTCCATCGCGTCTCGTAGCACTCTGCTTCTGTCATGCAGTCTCATCGCATTTAGCTTCTGCCATAAATTCTCTAGAAGATCTAAACTAAGAGGACTTATATGTATTTCTGTGAATCATGAACCTGTTTTCTATTTCATGAACTGAATAATAATTCAGTCCTTGGCATTGATGTACCATACATCGAGTCTTGTAGCATTCAGCTTTTGTCATGCAGCTGCCCAAACTCAAGTTTCAAGTTTTGTTTTTGTCACATTCATTAGAAGAGTGGTCCACAGTTCCAGATGCATACATGGGGCTATGCTTTTGCTGAACGAGCAAATTATGATCAATATTTCCAAAAGTTTTATTAATGCACCCTTTATCGAGTCTCGTAGCATTCAGCTTTTGTCATGCAGCTGCCTTAGCTAAGTTTAAATTTGTAAAAGGCGTCTTTTGAATACTAGACTCTTGTGCTTTGGCAGATGCATGCAATTCAATGTTATAAATACGATCTGAAATTTTCACGAAGTTAGTCCATCAACAAAAAAAGTTATTAACGTATTAAATTCCCGAAGTAAACAGACACTGCAACCCATGCGTGTTTATGCGTGCTTGCTTGTATGTCTCAGTGTGTGTGTTTCTTATGTGAGCAGAAAGACGCGAAGAATTATGGTTATACATATCTGTTCATTATAGGGTTCAGAGGATTTCGTAGTCGAGCTTTCTTACTTGTTTTATATTAAATTTACATTTGCCGAAAGACTTTTATTAACATATTTGTATTTACAAAATGAAAAAAAAAATGGCATTTCATTAAAATCGGAATCTATAATTTCCTCCAATGCCATATGATGGTGGACTATCGCCATAGGGTCCGCCCAGATGTTGGCCATATTGGCCGACGGCATCGAATTCGTGGCGTTTGTTGTCGCTGGTCCAGACGGGCACCTGAACCCGGGCCGCCACATCCTTGCCGCTGTTATCCTTGTTGTAGATGCCATCTAGCAGGAATCGCTGCTCATTGGGCGGATTAAACTGTTTCCTCTCGTTCCAGACATCTGCCCCGGGGTTCGCCGGCTCCTTCTGGCGTTCCGGCTGAGGCATGGCCCAGGCGGCGCCAAGCAGACAGCAGAGCAGAGCAATAAGTGTTAGCTGCATGTTGTATATGTGGCTTCGGTAACTCGCTTTATCGATTGATAAAACACTGAGAGCTAGCGCCGCGCTTATATAGCTCAGCCAAGAAGCTATCAATTGCAGCCGCTCAGAGCTCAAAGCTCTTATCAATCGAGTGCTTCCCCTTCGGGTAATTCCTCTTTCTGGCTTCACTTGACTTCGCTTGGCTTGGCTTGGCTTTTGTTTGCCTTCCATTAAATTTTATTTTTCTTACATTCAGTTTTTTATTTGTATTTCATATTATATATATGACGAATATTTTTGTCTGTGTGTATTATATATGACAATTTTTTTGCTCTTCAAATTTATTGAAACATTTTATTCGCATTTTATGCAGCCTCAAAAACTGCAAATAACATTTGTCTTTAATAATTGGCTTTAAATTATGACAGTTTATTTCGTTCGATATATTTATTGTTCGATTTTGATGCATGCTCTTACAATATAAAGAGAGTATATTAGTTTGTGGCAAAGTGAAGTTGAAGAGCTGGAATTATTATATACGATATACCTTCTTAGTTTTAGGAATGACAGTTATTATCATACATATATAT